CAGGCCCCACAGCCGCCGACTCCGGAGGTGCGCTTCGCTGCGCCGTGCGTCCCCGGGTTCCGAGTGCCTGAGCGAGTGGGGTCTCTGGGGCTCGCGTTTGCTGCCAGGACTGGTGCATTAAAGAAAAGAGTGTGTGCCTCAGGACTGGGACCAGGAAGTTCTCCCTATTGTTATTTTTGTTGGAATTTAGTTTTTGTCTCACAAACCTCACTGTAATGATAAGCCTGGGGAAAGGGGATCAGCAAGGGACTGGAGAAGCTGTAGAGAATCGGGGTATCGGAAACTAATCCAGCCACAAAGGCGCTACTGCTCCCTCTGGCCCCATTCTCACCTGCTCTGGTGTGAGATCCCTCGGCAGCACCCTGCGAGACCCTCCCTCGCCCCCACGCCCACTACACACACGCTGTAATCCAGGGGCATCGACCTCTTGGATGCTCCCAGGCCTATTTAAAATTGCACGCCCCCCTCCCCGCGCTGGAGCGCACACTTGTGCGCATGCACTCCTCAAACTCCTTGGTATCTCTATTTTCCTCCTAGCACTAAATTTTTTCAAATTTACTATATAACTCTCATATACTATACAACTCTAAAATGACAGCTTGTGGGTGGGAAGTCTGGATTGTTCAATGACATATTCCCCCAGGCCTGTTACACAGTAGACACTCATTAAACATTTGTGCAATGAAAAAATGAATGACAGTCACGAACATATTTGTCAAAAACACACACCCAGTGGAAGTCCTAGCCGAAGCAATTATGCAAGAAGAAATAAAAGGCATCCAAACTGGAAAGGAAGAAATAAAATTGTCATTATTTGTAGATTACATGGTATTATGTATAGAAAGCCCTACTAAAGACTCCACCAAAAAACTGTTAGAGCTAATCATCGAATTCAGTAAAGTTATAGGATACAAAATCAACATACAAAAATAAATTGCACTTCAATATAATGGGATATCAGAAAGAAGAATTAAGAAGACAATATCACTTACAATTGCACCAAAAATAATAAAATACCTAGGAATCGATCTAACCAAGGAGGTGAAAGGCTTGTGCACTAAAAGATATTGAGTAAAAGAAATAGAAGACACAAATAAATGGAAATATATTCTGTGCTCATGGATTGAAAGAATTAATATTGTTTTTTTTGTTTTCGTTTTTCCTAAAATATGTCTTTATTGATTTCAGAGAGAGGAAGGAAGAATGAGAGAGAGAGAAACATCAATGATGAGAGAGTCATTGATCGGCGGCCTCCTGCACGCCCCCGACTGGGGATCAAGCCTGCAACCCGGGCACGTGCCCTGACGGAGAATCGAACCTCCATCTCCTGGATCCTAGGTCGATGCTCAACCACTGAGCCACACCCAGCTGGGTGAAAGAATTAATATTGTTAAAATGTCCATCCTACCAAAGCAATCTACAGATTCAGTGCAACCCCTATCAAAATCCCGGGGTGTTTTTCAAAGAAATGTAACAATCTAGAATATATATGGAACTACAAAAGACCCAGAATAGCCAAAGCAATCTTGAGAAAAGAGGAATAAAGCTGGAGGCATCACACTCCCTGATTTTAAACTATATTACAAAGCTAATCAAAGTAGTATAGTATTGCCACAAACACATAGATTGACGGACCAGAATAAAGCCTAGAAATAAATTTACAACAAAGGAACCAAGAATATACAATGGGGAAAGGACAGTTTTGTCAGTAAATGGCATTGGGAAAACTGGACAGCCACATGCAAAATAATAAAACTACACTATCTTATGCCATACACAAAAAGTAAACCAAAATGGGTTAAACACTTGAATGTAAGATCTAAAACCATAAAACTCCTAGAAGAAAACATAGATGGTGAGTTCCTTGACATCAGTCTGGATTTCTTGCCAGTGACTTTTTGGATCTGACTCTGAAAGAAAAGGCAACAAAAACAAAAATAAACAAGTCAGACTACCTCAAACTAAAAAACTTCTGCACAGCAAAGAAAACCATCAACCAAATGAAAGGCAACCTAGGGAATGGGAGAAAATATTTGCAAATCATATACCTGATAAGGGATTAATATCCAAAATACATAAAGAACTCATACAACTCATAGCAAAATAAAATAATTTAATTTAAAAAAATGGGCAGAGGACCTGAATAGACATTTTTCCAAAGAAGACATACAGATGGCCAACAGGTACATGAAAAGATGCTCAACATCACTAATTATGAGGGAAATGCAAATTAGAACCACAGTGAGTTATATAACCTCACATCTGTGGTTATTTTAAAAAAGATGAAATAACAAGTATGGGCAAAAATGTGGAGAAAAGGGAACCCTTGTGCACTGTTGGTGGGAATGTAAATTGGCACATACATTATGGAAAACAGTATGGAGATTCCTCAAGAAATGAAAAATTGAGCTATCAATGATCCAGCTATTCCACTTCTGGGTATTTATCTGAAGAAAACAAAAAACACTAACTGGAAAAGTTATATGCACTCTCACGTTCACTGCAACATTACTTACATAGCAAGACATGGAAACAGCCTAAGTGCCCATCAGTGGAATGGATAAAGAACATGTGGTGTAGCCCTAGCTGGTGCTGCTCAGTGGGTAGAGCGCTGGCCTGCGGACTGGGGGGGTCCCTGGTTTGATTCCTGCCAAGGGCCTGCACCTCGGTTGCAGGCTCCATCCCCTGCCCCAGGCGGGCTGTGTGCAGGAGGCAACCAATCAATGTGTCTCTCTCACATCGATGTTTCTCTCTCTCTCTGCCTCCCTTCCACTCTCTCTGGAAAGCAGTGGAAAAAATATCCTCAGGTGAAGATTAAAAGAAGAAAATGTGGTGTATATCTATACAAGGGAATACAATTAAACCATAAAAAAGAGTGAAATCTTGCCATTTGCAACATGAATGGACCTTGAGAGAGAATTATGCTAAGTGAAATAAGTCAGACAGAGACAAGTACCATATGACCTCACTTATATGTGGAATTAAAACAACAACAAAAAGCTCACAGATGCAGAGACTGACTGGCAGCTGCCGGAGGCAAGGGATGGGGG